TACCCTCATAATCCCAGTGAATTTTCCATTTTCTCACACTTATTGGCAGTGTGGTTTTAAATTGAAATTGTTTTGGTTGTTTGTTTGTGTGGTGGCTGGATGTCTGCTTGGAAAATAATTGTTTTAATAGAAACTTGATTAAGATGATCAACTAACCCGAGTAGCACAAGTCGGTTACTTACTACGACCAACAAATCTTACAGATCAATTGTGATCCATGACCTTCCTTAGTCGTTCCCTAAAACTAGCTCTATCGCTGGCTACCGTCTGCTAATTGCTGATTCAAAATGCAACATTGTCTCTACCAGCCTCTTTCCACGAGTTTTTTGGCCTTCCACGTGATCCCTTACCATCTGCAAAATCGGATTTGAAGACCTTATTAAATGAAGCGTCAACAGGTCTTCTAATAACATGTCCAGCAAATCAAAGCAGGTCTACTTTGATTCTCCTCACAATATCAGCATCTCTATACAGCTGATAAATTTCTGCATTGCTCCTGCACAAGTCAGTTAATCGAATAAAAACTTGTCACCCAGCCTCTGTCATGGTGTTGGCTTTGATTTAAATACAGCACCATGCGAGGGTCGTACCAGCTTAGTGCCAGATTTCTGATCGATGAACCAAAATTTTCTAATCAAATTCCTTCAGTGTTCAGTAAATTATTTGAATCCAAGGAATTGAGAAACGCTTGGTCTACAATTATTTTTCAAACTTAGTGTCTTTAAAAGTTTTTAGTTGTAAATAGATTTGTCTGGTTCTTAATAAGATCTGTTTGAGATATAGCTAGACAGTTAAGTCTCCAGGTCACCAAAAATGTTCCATACTAGTTGTGAAAGTGAAGTCATTTCCTTATGTAAGCAAACTCACTTCTTCACTTTAACCAGCTTTAATAAACATTTCAAACTTGCCAGAAAAAAAATTCTTTTCTGCTATGCCTTAAAAGAGATTGAATTTAATCTCCGCATATATGGCACGCATACATTGAGCACACCCATTTTCATTCATTCAGTTATTTTAGTTCTCTATTTTTATATCCTTAGGCATTCATCAAGAAAATCCAAGAAAAGATTTCATTTCCTCATTTCTTTCTTTTTCTGTGCTGCTTTGACTTAATTTCATTAATATTAGGCGCGTTGAAATGAAAATGAAAATTTCTTTTTGTATCTTTTTGTTGTAATTCTGTTTCTATATCCAATTCTATTGAATCATCATCATCATCGTCATCGTCATTATTATAGTCAACCCAAAAGAAAGAAAAAAAAAGTAAATAATAAAGAAACAGAGCAAACAATAGAGGCATAGAGAGAAGCACTTATATGGTATAGAAGATGGTAGATAGAGGAATAATAACAATTTAATAAAATGGCAAACAAAACAAATGATTTTGATGAGAGGAGATGGGAAAATTGCCTGGATGCTCTGTGAGGGTTAAAAACATTCTTGTAATTTATTCGACTTATTTCCTTTAATGTCAAAATTTGTGGATGGAGATTTTCATCTTCTTGATTATTACTTAATTTACTTTATCTTTATTAGTATTGTGTTCTGTTCTTTTCTACAGCATCATTTAAGGAACAAAGTTTTTCTTGAACATATCTAGTTGCCTACATTCAATCTGCTTTATTGTTCACAATAAATAAAAGTTTAATATTACTTACTAAACTTAATCAGCAATATGTGTGGTTTAATCAATGAGGAAATGTCTATGAATGAATACGATTATTTACACATAATTTGATAGATATTGAATTAATGCATTCAATATGAAATTGTGTGTGATGTAAAGATGATAATGTGGAAATATTATGAGGTTTATGCATTATGCAAAGAGGCTTATGGAAATGAATAGCGATGATTGTTGACTATGATCAGAATAGATTTTCAGGATATTTTGAAATGCTTGAGCCTGCTTGAGGTTTATCAAAATCCATCAAAATAACGCACATGCAATCAGGAGTAAAACTAGAAAATAAAGATTCACTTTAAGAGGGTTCGAGAGGAGTAAGAACAGTTCCCATTCTTAAAGATCTTTTGCAGTTTTTATTAAAGGTCAGTTCTCAGAAATCAAGGTAATCAAATTCGGAGTGCCACAAGGAGCAGTGCTTTCACCAACTCTCTACAACATCTTCACGTATGATGTTGTAAGAGAGACAACCAACAACATCGGTCTTTTCGCAGATGATACAGCACTGTATCATTCTGCAGAGAACTCGGCCGATATTGTGACACATCTGCAGCACACAGGAAGAAAAGTTCAACAATACATGAACAAATGGAAGATCAACCTCAACAAACAGAAGACTCAAGCCTTATTCATCACAAACAGGCACTCCAGGCAACTACCAGGAAATAACATCAAATTTCTCAACGAAAACATCAAATGGGAAACAGAAGCTAAATATCTGGGAATGGTGATCGACAAGAGAGTGACATTAAAGCCGCATGTGGAGTATGTGACCAATAGGGCTCACACCGCATTAAGACAGCTTTATCCGCTCATCAGCAGGAACTCACAACTCGACGTACGAAACAAACTTCTCATCTACAAGCTAGCCATCAGACCAATATTCACATATGGTTGTCCAGCGTTTGGAAGCATGGCAAAAACCCATCTTCAAAAACTTCAAGTACTGCAAAACAAATTCTTGAGAATTGTTCTCAATAAAACAAGATATGAAAGGATCACCGATCTTCATACAGAAGCGAAAATACCGTCCATCGAAGACTACGTCGGAAAGTTGCAAGCGAACTTCAACAGTCGTCTTGCATCTCAAAACACCGAATAAATCAAATGAAATACAAAAGAAAGTAAAATCCGTAAATGAAATCAAAATTAAGAGACAAAAGGCAAATTGAATGCCTGAAACCTTAAAACAAAAAGCAACAAAATGTATAGAAACTTTGTACATACTTAAATTTAAATGTAAATAAATAAAAAGTTTAATTTAAAAAAAAAAAAAAAAAAAAAAAGTTCCCATTCTTATCTATCCATAGTGTGACATTCCCTAGGACAGTAATTTACAATCATTTTTGACTTGCCGCACACCAAACATCCTCATTTTGAATAATTAAAGCAGCTCAGGTGTTTCTCAATAGCTTTCGCCTTGAAAAAGCTCTCCAAACCACAATAGTGATAGCTTAAGAACCACTTGACTCTAGCTTAGTTCAATGCTATAACAATTGTATTAGCAAAATAACCAGCAACATTCTAGTTCGATAAAATGGTGTCTTTTTTCAAGTCCTTAGGCTGGAAATATTTTTATAATGGTTTTTGAGGAGAGTTCGATTTTTACCGTAAGCTTAATCTTGTCATTCATTTCCTAGAGTTTTGATACACTAAGGATTCGTACTTTACAAAACAAAAATCATTATAACAACTCTGACTAAGCCTGCTATCATTAACGTCCATTTCCACAGGCTAACTTCTAGAAATAAAACCATTTAACAACGATTAAAACTCAAGAATTTCTTTTACTTTTTACATCCATAAAAAGTATGATTTATGAAAGTTTTTCATATCCGAGTAAAGAAGAAAAAGAAAAATAAAATAAAACAATTTAAAAATGATTTATTCAATACCACGAGCTGTTCATGACTGGAATAAAAATTAAAATACATTTTTTAAAATCTCACAGCTTTGCATTCACAGCATTCATCATCTATTATGTCAACTTGTGAAATGACCACATTAATTTCATTTTTGTGATGAAGTTGCGACTTGTGTGAAGTTGGCCAGGAATCAGTAAAGATTTTTGAGGTTTGATATTAAAATTCGATTTAAATTTGACTTAATAAGGTTCAAAAATTAAGTATTTCCTCACATTTTGAGTATCAAAGCTAACTTCACACCAGTGACAAAGCCATCACATGATACGAGAATAAAAAGCATTCATGAGCAGTTTTAAGCGTTATTAAATTTTCCAAAAGACAAAGTTTTTTTTTGCATTTAATTGGCTTTCTCTCCCACATTGCCTCCATCACCACGATCACTTATGCTGTATGTAATGCACAGAAAGCCCTTAAAACCAAATAATAGATAAATAATTTTTTTTTTCGAAAATTTCATTAAACTCGAGATTTTTTTTGTGTTTGCTGCAAATCTGCAATTGAGTTAAAAAGCGAATACAAAAATAAAGTTGCCGAGGCAAAAAGGAAAAGTTTTTTTATGTGGTCAATCTGGTCAAGTTAGGAAATAAAGTTTTTTCTTGCATGCATTCATCTACAGAAAGACTCATGCATCTTTACTCCCAAAACAATTTTTAGATTTCATTAAATTGTCCATGAAAATTCAGCACAAAAAGTGAGCATTAACAGAAAAGTTTTCGTATGCAGCATTCCAGACAAAAATAAAGTTTGAATTGTATTAAAAAAGATTTTGTAAACTTGTTTAAATGGATTTGAAATCTGAGTTTAAATAATGATAATGAAAATTTGGATTTTAGATGACATTTTGAATAAATTTGAAAGTCATTTTGAACTTAATTTGTTTGCAATTTAGGGACGAAAGCGTGCTGTGAATCATGTTTTAGGCAAAAACAACAAGATGAGAAGTTGACAGGGAATTTTGTAAAAATGAAAGACTTTTTTTATTTACAATGAATGAGTTCATCTAGTGGGAATTGAACTCGCGTGTTCTCAAAAGATAAATGGTTTGGGTAACAAATTCGCTATAACCTTGCCACACAATCCCCACACTAGCAGATTAGCCTACATATAGTTCGACATTCGATTCCAATCTGCTTCACTACGATTGCGATTTAATTATTTAATTACACAATTTATATTTTTTTTTATTATTGAATATCCAATTTATGTGACATTTTCTAATGCAGTTTACATATTATTTCGTCACTGTTCGCATTGACAAAAAAGACATGAATTTTATAAATTTTTTTCCAATTTTATTTGGAATTAGCTTCGCAAAATCGATAAATAGCAGGAATTTTCTAAATCAGGATCAGATCAATGAAAATAAATTGGTAAGAAGTATCTGCAAAGTAATGAGTGAGATAATAGATCAAAATATTCAGACTCAAGACATACTAATTGCGAACTTCAGAGGTTTACAAAAGGATTTTGATATAAATGATGTTGCTAGATGCGTTGGTGATACACATCCTGTCGTTGTGATAGATCGAATGGTGAAGATGACATCAAAAACTTTAAGGAAGGCTGCATTCACGATTTTACAGCTTAATAAAATTGATGTGGTATAAATTAGCTGTTCTAAAGTAAATTGATTCAAACTATTAATATTTTATTTGCAGAAGTCAATAGCAAAGTTGATTCAAAACCAACGACATTCCTCAGTTTGGCATCACATGTCGAGAATTATTTGTATTGTCCCAACTGGATTATCCTTAAATGAGCGTTTAATTATTCTTCAAAATTTCTTTGCAAATGGATTTTGGAATTTTGTAGTCGTGTACGAGACAGTTAAAGGAATCGAGTATGAAAGTCTTAAATCTTCTGGAAGTCGTTATAAAAGATTAACGATTGTAAATCCAAAGTATGGTCATCTGATATTTCCGGATAAGCTTAAAAATTTAGAAAGATTCGAATATCAAGTAGCTTCTGTTAAGAATAGCAATAATAGTTATATTAGTTCACTGATGATAAATTTCTTACATACCGTTACGCATCAACAAAATTCAACTTTCAAAATGTTAAACTTACAAAATTTAACAATATTGGAAGATTATTGGAGGACACGCAAACTGCATTTGCTGATAAATTTAGTAACAGTGAAATATTCCCCAGAACCAACGCTAATGATATACGAGGAAAAAAGCTATTGTGCGTTAGTTCCGATTTCAGAAATAACTTCATTCTTCCTCGTCATAATCACCAAACCATTTGATCGATTCATGTGGGTATTGATAGGACTTTCTATGGTTTGCTCTGTTACTGTTTGGCGATTGTTTCTAGGTCGTGGTGCTATTGATTCTCACTGGAAAGTTGCTGCTTTGTGGTTCATGATATTTATCGGTCAAGGTCTTGATTTTTCAAGCAAAAATCGAACTGTCCTATTGCTTTTAATTCATTTAATATCTATATCAATTTTCATACTTAGCAATGCCTATGAAAGTATTGTTACATCATTTATGATTGATCCAAGTCAAAAGCATCTAAAATCTATTAAAGATCTGTTGGAATCAAACTTTGAGATTGCTGTTGGACAAGCATTTAAATACAATTTTAGAAATTCTAGTGAGTTTTCTTCGATTGTAAATTCACCTGATACACCAAAAGGAATCACTTTTGGCAACAACTTAATTAAACGACATTACGCTTTTATAAGACTCTGTGATGTAGCTGAGGGTGTTTTGAATTTACAACGACGCAATAGAAAATATTTATCAGAATATTATTATATTCTACCAGAGAGGATTCCAAGTCAATTTATCAGATTGGAAGCAAGTTTTCTTAACCCATTCCTTGAAAGATTTCAGCACTACATGGACTTGTCATTTGTAGCTGGATTATTAAAAATATGGAAAGTATTTGATTCTTACGATCCCACGTAACCAAAATCCCATAGATGGACTATACATGTATTACGCGAATATATTCCATGTATAGTCCATGCGTATCATCCATGGATGATACATGGAACGATATTGTCCTATGGAGATGGATGATTTCATGGACGATTTGGGAACGTTCCATGTATAGTACATTGGGTAATACAAATGTACTACTTTATGTATTTTTAATGGATTTATGCGCCTGAAAAAAATTTTGCTTAAATCTTAGTTAATTAATTCATATTATTGTTTATTCTTTACACTATTTACTTTATTAAAAATTCACATACAATTATGCTAACAACATTCAAACGAAAAATTATACTACAAAAAATAAACATAGCTGGATTTCTGAAAAAAAGAGAAATAAAAAAATGATTAAAATCCTGAAAATTAAAAATTAATTAAAACGATTAAAACAAAAAAATGCTTGCAATACCTATAAATAATAAAACGAAAGGAGAACGATAATTTAATGATTTTAAGATGTCTAAATCATCTCAATTTTTTGTAAATTTTCATTATTAAAAACTCATTTTTTTCTTACCTTAAACATAACTTTATGACTTGTTTCACATTCTTTACCATTTTTTTCGTCAATTTATCACAATTTAAAACATTAAACCACAATTTAAATTAATTTTTCACGTCATATAAATTTTTTCTAAAACACATTTCACAATGTAAACAAACAAGAAAAAAAACCAAAATGTTTTTAATTGTCCGAATGACCAGATTTTTAAAATATTACGTAAATGTATTACACATGGACTATACATGGAAGAACCATTTATGTAGTACAAAAGTAATACACAATGTACTATTTTGTGGAAAGTACATAAATCTTCCATCGATGTCAATGGAAAATGTGTGGAATACTTTGGTTACGTGGGATGTTTCTGAGTTAAAGAACTTTCAACAATCTAAAGATTATTTGGAATTAAAAGATCTTGGACCTGTGTTCTTAATTCTATTTATTGGATGCATTTTGTCGGCTGTTGTGACGTTTGTTGAAATTTTCCATCAAGAATTCATTAGAAACTTAAATTGGAGTCGATTTTATGAATGCTTGAGAAGAAGGACTCAATTGTTCTGTAGCAAAAGGCAGGAAATAAAAGTCAACAAGGTCACAGTCCAACCTCAAAAGTCTGCAGTTTAAAGTTAAAATCAATAAAAACTATTCAAGCTATCATAATCTTTAAAATTTAATAAGCACATGTAATTTTAATTGAATATTAATTATGTGTGTCATTTTCCTATGTAAAAGCTTCAATACTAGTTTGGACTTTGCATTGTGATCACCTAATATTGATTGTGAACGTTTAAACATTTTTAAAAATGAAATTATTCAAATATTTTGCAATTTTTTTCTTAATTGTTTTCCTAAAAACAACGCAGACAAAAAGCTTTTTACTTCAGCGTCAAATCAGTGATAATAAAATGGTTAAAAGCATTTGTAAAATTGTAAAATATGCATTACATCAAAATATACAGACTCAGGACATTCTCATTGGTAACTTTGGAGGTTTATTCAAGAATTTAGACTTGAATGATGTTTCTAGATGCATTAGTGATAGACATCCTGTCGTTGTGACTGATTTGACAATGAAAATGACAACAAAGAGTTTAAGGAAAGCTTCACTTATGATTGTAACGATTAATAAAATTGATACGGTAAAAAAAAACTAAGTAGAAATCAATAAATTCAAACTAATCATAATATTTGTTACAGAACTCAATAGTAAGTTTAATTAGAAATCAACGAGGTTCGACGATTTGGCATCATATGGCAAAGATTATTTGTGTCATACCGAATGAACTATCATTAAAACAACGCCAAATCATACTTCAAAACTTCTTTGTAAGTGGATTTTTGAATCTCATAATTGTTCACGAGACAAGCAAAGGAATCGAAACTGAGAGTTTAAAACATTTTCAAGATCGATATAAGAGATTAATAACATCAAGTTCAAAGAGTTTTTCTCTGGTGTTTCCAGATAAGCTAAAGAATTTAGAAGGATTTGAGTATCAAGTAGCTACTGTAAAGAATATTAATGATAGCTATATAAGTCCGCTTATGTTACATTTCTTACGGATTATTAAGGATCATCAAAATTCCAATTACAAGATTTTAAACCTGAAGAATCTCACAGAGTTAGAGAATTATTGGAGATCACGTAAAATGCATTTGCTGATTAATGTCGTAGTAATTAAGCCTTCTACAGAGCCAACGTTAATGACATATGAGGAACAAAGTTATTGCTTGTTGGTTCCAATTCCACAAAAAAATTCATTTGTTTTTCAATTCATCATCAGGCCATTTGATAGATTCATGTGGACGTTAATTGCACTTTCTGTTATTTGTTCTGTTGTTGTTTGGCGATTGTTTCAAAGTCGTGGTGCTGTTGATTCTCATTGGAAAGTTTGATTTCGATCTCAGTTTTCATTCTCAGCAATGCTTACGAAAGTTTCATTACATCATTCATGATTGATCCTGGTGAAAGCCTTTTAAAGTCTTTTAAAGATCTATTGGAATCGAAAATAGAGATTGTTAGTGGTCCAGCATTTAAATACTTTTTCAGGGATTCTAGTGAGTTTTCTGCCTTGGTAAACTCACCTGATACACCAAAAGGAATCAACTTTGAATCGAACTTGATTGAACAGCGTTACGCTTTTACTAAACTTTGTGACTTAGCTGAGCATGTCCTTAATTCGAAACGATCCAACAATAGATACTTTTCAGAATATTATTACATTCTACAAGAAAGAATTCCAAATCAGTTTTTAAGATTGGAAGCGAGCTTTTATAATCCATTTCTTGAACGATTTCAACACTACATGGACTTGTCATTTGAAGCTGGCTTGCCAAAAATGTGGAAAGTATTTGATTCGTATGACGTTTCAAAGCTAAAGAACTTTCATGAATCTAAAGACTATTTAGAATTAAAAGATCTTGGACCTGTGTTTTTAATTCTATTTATTGGATGCATATTGTCGGCTTTTGTGATGATTATTGAAATTTTGTACCAAAGATTCTGGAATTGGACTAGGTTTTATGAATGTTTAAGAAGAAGAAAACAGATAATTTTCAACAGATGGAATAGAAAGAAGCAGAGTCCGAAGGTCAAAATGGTTCAATCATAAAAGTCTAAAGTTTAAAGTCTAATTCCATTTCACTAATGAATTCTAAAAAATCCATAAAAACTATCATAAACTAGAAATCAAATAATGCAATGCAACTTTAAATTGATTCTCATTTTATGTGATATTTTCAAATGTCATAGCTTTATTATCAGTTTAGACTTTGTATTGTGCTCACCTTGTTACTTTAGCATTGATTTTGAAAGCGTTTTTTTCATTATTAATAAAAATGAAATTATCCAAATTCTTTGCTTCATTTGCCATAGTTTTGTTTTTAAAAATGATTGAAAGTAAGAACTTTACACTGCAGCATGAAATAAATGATGAAAAATTGATTAAAAGCATTTGTAAAATTGTAAATCATAGATTAAATCAAACAAATCATACTCAAGATGTTCTGATTGGGAATGTGAAAGAATTAAATAATTTTGACGTAGATTATGTTGCTAAATGTATTAGTCATAGAAATCCAGTTGATGTGACAGATATGGCGATGAAAATGACAAATTTTCATTTGCGAAAGGCTTCATTTGTAATTATAGTGCTTAACAATATTGATTTGGTAGTTTAATAACAAATAAAATTAAAAAATAAAAATAAATGAACTAATCATTTAACATTTACAGGATGAAGAAGGAAACATAATTCAAATTCACAAATTTTCAACGCATTGGAATTTCATGGCTTGTATCCTTTGTCCAATTTCGACTAAATTGTCTGCAAAACAGCGATAAAAAATACTTTTAAAATTTTTAAAAAATGGATTTTGGAATGTCGTTCTGGTGTTCGAGTCAGACATAGGAATTTCGTATCAAACTCTGAATCCTTGGAATAATGGTTTTGTACAATATACAAATACAAATCCAAGCAAAAGCATAAAACTTTTTCATGATAAGCTTAAAAAATTTAAATGGATTTGAGTATCAGATTGGTGTATTGAAAAGTATAGAAGATAATTTGGGAAGTTATATTATGACCCATTTTTCACATGCAATTACAATTAAACAAAACTCTACTTATAAAATAATAACTTTAAAAAATATTACGGACGCATTAGAACATACAAAAAAACGAAAAACACATTTGATAATTAGTTTTACAACGGTACCAGAACCAAACGATGTAACATTAATGACTTACGAAGAACAAATTTTTTGCGCTATGGTTCCAATTCCAGAAAAAAACATCATTCTTTTTCGTCTTAATCTCTAAACCATTTGATCGACTTATGTGGACATTAATATCACTTTCTGTTGTTTGTTCTGTTATTGTTTGGCGATTGTTTCGTGGCCGTGGTGCTATTGATTCACATTTTAAAATTGCTGCTTTTTGGTTCATGGTTTTCATTGATCAAAGTCTTAGATTTTCTAAAAATAATCGAACTGTGCTATTAATCCTACTTCAATTGATTTCAATATCGATTTTTATACTCAGTAATTGCTATAAAAGTGTCATCACATCATTCATGATTGATCCAGATAAAAATTATTTAAAATCACTTGATGATCTTATAGCATCAAATTTAACAATTTTTGCTGATCCAATATTACGATTCTATTTCAATGACTCAAGTAAATTTGTTGCTAGAATAAAATTGTCAAAAAGATTGAAAAATGAAAAAAGTGATGCTCTAATTAGACAATGTTATGTCGTTGAGAAGTACTTAAGTGCAAAAAATGCAGCTGGAACTTATTACATCTTACCAGAAAAAGTTCCAACTTATTTTTTTAAATTGGATGCGAGCGCTTATATGGATTAGCAAAAATGTGGAAAGTTTTCGAGTCCCATGCGATTCCAAAATTAAGAACAGTTAAAGCTAATGACTATTTAGAATTAAAGGATCTTTTGCCAGTATTTTATGTTTTGGTAATTGGATGTGCGTTGTCTGGTTTTGTTTTGCTTCTTGAAATTTTTTATCATGATTCTTTAAATTTTATTTTATCGAGATTTTACAAAAGATTAAGAGCATGTACTTATTCGATCTTTGATAAAATGAGGAAGAAAGGCGAACCAAATGTTAATAAGATTTTGGTTAAGCCACAAAATACTGATGCTTAATTATGAGTTTGGCAAATAGAGACATCTTCGTAATGACAGCATCTGATAGACATTTAGTATCCACTTTAAAATGGATTAAAATCCCAGATCCTTCTTAAAAAGAATAAAACATCACATTAAAATAAAAATTTGACTAATGCATTTTAATTCCAATAAATATAAATTTTATTGCGATTATCACAACTTATCACAAGTTTCAATCACATTTACTATATTAAAACCTTAAAAAGTAGAATTTTTAAAACCCTTGTTGTTCATTTTTGCTTTTTTCATTAAGTCATAGTTTTTAATAAAGATTGAAGAGGAAAAAATGGAGTTTCCAAAGTTTTTTATTGTTGCTTCAATATTAACAATCCTCTTCTCAAGACAAATCTCAACAAACGCTTTAACATTAGTAAACAGCATTTGCGAAATTCAAAATGACGTCGTAAATTCTAGAACTGACACTCAGGACATCCTCATATCAAATTTAGGAGGACGGATGTGGTCATCTTCTATCAATGATATTATCAGATGCATTGGTGATAGTAATCCGGTTGTTGTAACAGATTTAAAAAGAAAAATTATTGGTAAAAATCTGAGAAAGGCTTCGCTTGTGGTTTTAGCATTTAGTCAAACTGATACGGTAAGAAATATAAAAATTACATAAAGATTTAAAAAAAGATATTTATTTAATTTTAAGGCTTTACTCAAAAATATTCTGCTTGTTCATAAGCAATCCACAACGTGGCATCATATGGCTAAAATAATTTGTATCATACCAAACACATTAGATCAAGACCAGCGCCACCTCATCCTTCAAGTTTTTTTCGTGAACGGTTTTTTGAATGTTGTTGTGCTGCACCAGATTTATCCTACTGTCGTTATCGCTGAGACTATAAACAGTTTGCCTGCTGTTTTCATACTAACAGTATCAAACCCAACCGACAGCTTGATTGTGTTTCCTGATAAGCTAATTGATTTTGAAGGGTATGCTTATCAAATAGCCGAAATTGATAGCATTGGGATGAGTTACATTACTAGTCAGATGATGCATTTTCTTCGTATACTTAAATCCATTCAAAATTGCACTTTTAAACGATTGAATTTGCCTGATACAATTGCAATTGGTGATTACTGGAAGCGACGTAAAATGCATTTGCTGATAAATATAGCAACTGTTCATCATTCTCGAGAACCAAAGTTAATGACATATGAGGAAAAAAGTTATTGTGCGTTAGTTCCAATTCCTGAAAAAACGTCATTTTTTCTCGTCATAATCACTAAACCGTTTGATCGATTCATGTGGACATTGATAGGACTTTCTGTTCTTTGTTCTGTTACTGTTTGGCGACAATTTCGTGGTCGTGGTGCTGTTGATTCTCACTGGAAAATTGCTGCTTTATGGTTCATGGTTTTCATAGGTCAAGGTCTTGACTTCTCTAACAGGAATCGTTCTTTGCTATTGATCCTGCTTCATCTGATTTCGATCTCGATTTTTGTCCTCAGCAATGCCTACGAAAGTGTCGTTACATCATTCACAATTGATCCTGTCGATGAGCACTTAAAGACACTCAAGGATTTATTGTCATCCAGTTATGACATAATGGCTGATAAAGGTTTTGAGTTTTCTTACGAAAATACAAATGAGTTCATTTCCAGAATTAATACATCAAGCTTGAATATGAGAGACAATGAAGCAAAGGAAATCATCAGAAAACGTTTTGTGTTCATTCGGACCTGCGATGTGGCTGAAAATGTCTTAAGACTTTACCTTCCAAACGGGAAACAAACCTCAGAATATTATTATATTCTGCCTGAAAGGATTACTGGTCAGTTCATCCACTTAGAAGCAAGCTATTATAACCCATTTTTGGAGCGACTGCAATATTACATGGACTTGTCGTTTGAAGCAGGCTTACCGAAAATGTGGAAATCATTCGATTATTTGGATTATTCAAACAGAATCAACTATGAAGAAACGAGTGACTTCTTGTTACTTGAAGATCTTCTTTTAGTTTTTGCAATTCTGCTGCTTGGATGCGCTGTATCTGCTTTTGTGTTGATGATCGAAATTTCTTATCATGATTTTTTCAGATACTTGGATTGGACTAGACCATATCGATGGATTAAGAGTAAGATTAGTCAAATTACATTCAGGAGGAATATAAAAGTACAAAAACCAAAAGTTCGGAGAATTTTCGTAAAATCTCAAATGAATGATGTTTAAATGATAAAAAAGTATTCAAAACGAACAAGATAGAAGTTTGAAGAATTCTTCAGGATATCTCAGAATACATGCAGAATCAAAAACATTGTAGCCTCCTTTAAACTGAGGCAGCTTACTAGATTACAGCTATAGAATTTGACAAAAATATTGCACAAAATAATTATAAACTTTTACTGTGTAACACTTTGCATTCATTTAATCTCACGATTTAAAATTTTCTTTACTTCTCAAACAAAAACTATTACTTAATAATACTGGTTTGTCTTAAGCTTATAAATTGTAGGTACTTAGCAAGTTTTTAGGCAGGGAAGTTAACTCAAGTCAGTTAATATTAGAGCAGTGCGTAAAGTGAATATCTGGATTTAAAAAAGTCTCTTCAAGTCAGAAGACTTTAATGTTGTTAGAATAAGTGATTTCCTGTATGCAACAGCCAGTCAACGATAAGTTATGTAAGTGCAAGGGAACGGAACATAGTGCAACTTATATATAGGAACTAGTCAAAAAGTTATCCAGCTCTCGATAGCTTAGTGATTGGAGCATATTACGGATGCAAAAATCATTCAAGTGAAGCAAAAGTACAGGTACAGGTCACAAAAGTTGGTGTTAAATTTAGACTCCCGGGTTCGAATCTTACCACCAACCTAGTGATTTTCCACAGTGAAGTTAAGATACTTTGGCTTCTTAAGTGCAGCAGTTTAGGACGCAATACTAAGAATTAGGCGATGTGAGATGTAAGAACGAGTGAAAAACTATGTAGACAGAATGAGAAAGAATCGAGAGCCCTAAATTCACCATGGAGCGTTTTTACTGGAATGGACCTGAAGACATTGTGACTTACTAAAAATTGAAACGAGAGTTGACATGAACACTAGTTCTAAGATCTTAACAGTTTTTAATTGGCTGCTGGACACACAACTGCTTAGTGAAGATTATGCGCTACATACTGGGCTAGCGTACATAATAATATTTAAAAATTATTAATACTGAGAATAAAATTGTAGCACTTAAAGCTTTAGTAACACTGGTGCACAATTTAAGATGAATAAATTGAATTGAAACATTTCAAAAGGAAGTTGGATTGCTAAATATGTAGATATGTGATGGAAGCTTACATGCAGACATTTAATATGTTGTCATTAAAAATAATTTTAATTACATGAAATTTACATTAATTTTAATGCGTATTATCTAGACTTTAAATCACATTTGCTTAAATGCAACTTAGAAAGTAGAATTTTTAAAATCTGTGCTAGTTATTTTACATTCCAATTTTTATACAATCACATTTGAAAAATGTTAAGGAACTAAAAAAAGAATAGATGAAATTTGTCAAGATTATTGTTATTGCTTCGTTATTGGCTTTATTCAATTCAAGTCAAAGCCCAACATCTTTTTCATTAGTAAAGAGTATATGCGAAATTCAAAATGACGTCGTAAATTTTAGAACCGACACTCAGGACATCCTCATAGCAAATCAAGGAGGACAGATGTGGTCATCTACTGTCAATGATATTATCAGATGCTTTGGTGATAGTAATCCGGTTGTTGTAACAGATTTAAAGAGAAAAATCACAGCTAAAAATCTGAGAAAGGCTTCGCTTGTGGTTTTAGCATTTAGTCAAACTGATGCGGTAAGAAATATAAAAATTTAATTAAGATATAATTAAAGATATTTATTTAATTGTTAGGCTTTACTCAAAAATATTCTGTTTGTTCATAAGCAATCCACAACGTGGCATCATATGGCTAAAATAATTTGTATCGTACCAAACACATTAGATCAAGATCAGCGTCTCATTATTCTTAAGATTTTTTATATAAATGGTTTTTTGAATGTTGCTGTGCTGCATGAGACTATTAATACTGGTGTTTTCTCTGAAACTGTAAGAACTTTATCAGCAGATTCTTTACAAACAGTATTTAACCCGACAGACAGCTTGCTTGTGTTTCCTGATAAGTTAATTGATTTTGAAGGATATGCTTATCAAATAGCCGAAATTGATAGCATTGGGATGAGTTTCATAACTAGGCAGATGATCCATTTTCTTCGCATGCTTAAATCCATTCAAAATTCCAATTTTAAACGATTGCATTTGCCTGATATTAATGCACTTGGTGATTATTAGAAGAGACGTAAATTACATTTGCTGATAAATATAGCAACTGTTCATTATTCTACAGAACCTAAGTTAATGACATATGAAGAAAAAAGTTATTGCGCATTAGTTCCAATTCCTGAAAAAACGTCATTTTTTCTCGTCATAATCACTAAACCGTTTGATCGATTCATGTGGACATTGATAGGACTTTCTGTTCTTTGTTCTGTTACTGTTTGGCGACAATTTCGTGGTCGTGGTGCTGTTGATTCTCACTGGAAAATTGCTGCTTTATGGTTCATGGTTTTCATAGGTCAAGGTCTTGACTTCTCTAACAGGAATCGATCTATGATGTTGATTCTAATTCATTTAATATCCATATCAATTTTCATACTTAGCAATGCCTACGAAAGTGTCGTTACATCATTCACAATTGATCCCGTCGATGAGCACTTAAAGACACTCAAGGATCTATTGGAATCCAGTTATGATATTATTGCTGATCGAGCATTTGAGTTTTCTTACGAAAATACAAATGAGTTTATGTCCAGGATCAATACATCAAGCTTAAATATGAGGGACAATGATGGAGAGGAAATCATCAAGAAGCGTTTTGTGTTCATTCGGACCTGCGATGTGGCTGAAAATGTCTTAAGACTTTATCTTTTTAACGGGAAACAAACCTCAGAATATTATTATATTCTGCCTGAAAGGATTACTGGTCAGTTCATCCACTTAGAAGCAAGCTATTATAATCCATTTCTGGAGCGACTGCAATATTACATGGACTTGTCGTTTGAAGCAGGCTTACCGAAAATGTGGAAATCATTCGATTATTTGGATTATTCAAACAGAATCAACTATGAAGAAACGAGTGACTTCTTGTTACTTGAAGATCTTCTTTTAGTATTTGCAATTCTGCTCCTTGGATGCGCTGTATCTGCTTTTGTGTTGATGATTGAAATTTCTTATCATGATTTTTTCAGATACTTGGATTGGATTAGACCATATCGATGGATTAAAAGTAAGGTTAGTCAAATTAAATGCAGGAGGAATGTAAACGTACAAAAAACAAAAGCTCGGAGAATTTTCGTAAAATCTCAAATGAATGATGTTTAAATGATAAAAAAGTATTCAAAACGAACAACATAGAAGTTTGCAGAATTCTTCAGGATTCTTCAGAATACATGCAGAATCAAGAACATTGTAGCCTCCTTTAAACTGAGGCAGCTTACTAGATTACAGCTATAGAATTTGATCAAACTATTGCACAAAATAATTATAAACTTTTACTGTGTAACACTTTGCATTCATTTAATCTCACAATTTACAATTTTCTTTAATTCTGAAACAAAAACTAATACTTATTCCTCAAAATACCATTTATGGTAATTTAGAAAATTATTTTCAACCATATGCAATAATACTGGATTTTCTTAAGCTTGTAAGTTGCAAAATTTTAGACAGGGAAGTTAACTTAACTCAGTTAAAATTTGAGTAGAGCGAAAAAGTGAATAACTGGATTAAAATAAATCTTAGTGAATCAGAAGACTTCAAATGTGTTGCAATAAGCGACCTGATGTAAAATCCAGTAAACGATAAATCATGATTATGCAAGGGAACAGAAAAGAGTAACTTTTATAATGGATTTAGCCATAAAGTCATCTAACCCTCGATAGCTCAGTGGATGAAGCAGAGCTCGAAGTCGAAGGGTTCGAGTCAATTTCGAGCTCTGGGTAGGAGCATGCGATCAGACATCATAAAACGCAAGTTCAAATCCCGCTTAGGAATTGGTTATTTGAAGTCAAAAAAACAACAAAATCAACTGTCCTGTCTTTGATTTTAAATTTGTATCCGTGTCTAAAACAAACCAAACCTTTACAAGCATATCCAGACAGCAACCATTCCCAGCAAAAAAAAAAAATTACATTTAATTAAAGGATAACGCAAATCCTTTTAAAAAAGTTTTCATATAAAATACTTTTTCATTCAGAAAAGGTTAAAGCATGTATTTCTGAATAGCATTGTACATATTTGAGCAATACAGTAGAAAAATCTGAGGTAAAACATCGGTTAATAGCAACTTAATCCTATACCATAGCTATGAGGAGTGAAAATGTTTTATATTTCATCCACTTTTTGTGTTTAAAAACTTTTCACAATTTTTCTTTAGAAATGGATACAACAGCTATGTCGAGTAGATTTTTTCGTATTTGTTAGAGTTTGTAAAAAAAAGAAATTCTATTTAGTTCTGTTGTAAATGGGAAAATTTATGAATGCATTTTAAAAAATTTTATTATTAACATTTTCTGTGGAAATTGTCATCTCTGCATTAAATTTCACTTCTAATTAAAGCTGAATGTGTTGTTATGATTTTTTATATAGTCGCATAAAAAATAAGAAAAATTATGTGCATAAAATAATTAATTAATTCTTAATTAACCAACAGCGACAGGAGACGAATGAAATATGAAGAAAAATGTCGGAGAAATTTTTATTTTATGAAAAATGAGTGTTTAAGAAATTAATTAAATTTTTTTCTTGCAATTTAAAGATTTTTTTTAAATTTTCAGCATATTTTTTTGTGAAAATCAATTCCTTTATCTCTCCTCAAATGCGTAAGATCCAACTTCTTGAAATTAAATTTTAGAACCTTTTAATTGACAACAATCTGCCATTTTGTACAAGAAGAATTCCAATTCTCAAATTAATTCATCTTATCAATAGATTTAAAGATCTTACCAGCACATAAAGAATTAATAAAATAGAAGAAAATCTTTTTCAGCATTTTTCATCATCATTGAGACGTTTACGAATGGATGAATAATCGAGCAATCATGAAGGATATTAACTTTCAAATCATTCCATTGAGCATCTTGCTTTACAGTTCGTTGTCGTCAGGTACAAAAGATAAAAATAATGAATTAATGTAAAGGATCGTAAGTTCTCAATTTGATTGCAAAACATTCAAATTCTTTAATTGAAAAAAGAATGTTTTAGTAATTTATTTGGACGTTGGCTTAAAATAATGTATTTTGGATTTAAAATCTACAATTTTAGTACTGTTTGTTACAGAATCGAAAACTGTATCCATTCTACAAATTTATTGACGACGACATCAGTGTTGATGATTGACTCAATTTTCCCCACAAAAATGAAAACAACAAAAAAATAAGAAAAATCAGGAACTTAATTTAACAAAAACCTTTCATGAATTTCAATGAGTCTAAAAACAAGAAAATCATTTCATTATAAAAATAAATATTTTAAGAATTTTTCATACCCTCAACCTCCTCGTACAAGTCAAAAGCAGAAAAAGTCAAGTAAGAGGAAATGAAATAAATGAAAATTATGATGTGATGAAAGGTTCTTTTGATGACACTGCAAGTTGGTGATGATGATGAAAATTAATATTTATGCTGTGTTAGTGAAAAACTATAATTCTGATTGAAATTAATGAGAATGGTGCATTATTGTAATTTTAAAACTATTTCTATTATGGAATGATGAAAAGTTGATTGAATGTGTAAACTTATTTAAAACGAAAACCATCAAAAAAAATTCCAATTTAAGTTAACAACACAAACAAATTAAAATCTCAATTAATATTCCATATTAAAATCATTAAAATTGATAAATGCACAAAAAAAAATTAAAAAAATTACGAAAAATTTCCATAATTCATACATATTTTGGTTATCTGCATTGATTTTAATTATCTAGAATCAATTTATTGTGCTCATAAGTTTGCTCTAATTAAACTTAATCATCTCGATAAATTGAATCAATGAATTACAGGTAAAAACAAATATTTGCTCTAATTATTTTTAATTTAGGGATTATTATAATATGACAGAGTTGAAAATAAGGGGATTGTTTATTTTTGGGTATCTGTAGAAAAATTCAACTTTTGATCTAATCACTAGACAGATCTGGGGATTTGTGGTACATCTTTGGATCTGTAGAAAATCTGTGGAACCGTGATAAAACTCTGGCAAATCCATGTGCCGCGAAAAACTTCGAGAAATCTTACGATCCTCGTACCGTGTCTAGTTCTAGCCATGGCTTACTCTCAAGGTGTGCAGTAGAACAAAAAAAAGGATTACCACCACTGTTCTAAATCAATAAGTTTGCACAGATTTCCCTGCTGACATTTTTCGAAACTTTTCACAGACACAAACTATTTGCAGATAGATCCAATTATATCCATACTCAATGTTTTATTAACACAATTAATTGCAATATATCTATCTAATTACGATAAAAATATTTTAATGAGTATGAAAAGCAAATTTGCGTTGGGGGTTGTTCACTTATGACGTCCAAAATTAACGGTCATTTTTCAAAAAAGAACAATGAATTTCCTGGAATTGTTCTTTTCTTCTGACCCCCCAACCCCCTGGACGTCATAAGTGAACGGCCCCTTGCTTTACAATTGATTTATGTTTAATTAAAAATTATGAAAATTGCATTATTAAAAAAATTGTTAAATTTAATCGAGAATAAAGCACTTGTCACTAAATACTTAACTGACAACTTACTAGTGGACTTTTAAAGTTTTCATTAATATAATTTGATTTTTAATTGTGGCTTATATTGGGATTTGCAGATTATTAATATACAAAGCTAGGGGTGCGAGAAATGACAGCAATTAATCGATTCCAAGAGAATGAATAAAAAAAATGTTGCAACAAAGTATTACAATTTATTCAGTTTATGACGTTATCTTCTCTGAAAGTAAATACGTCCAGCCTGTATAAATTTTAAATGCTCTTTTCAAGAATTTTCATTTTTATTCAAATTAATTTAAATTTATATTCACATTGAATGTATAATTTGAATGTAGTACTTAACTAATGTTTTAATAATTACAAAAAACCAAATTACACTACATTCAATCACTACATTAAAGATATAAGTAAGTGAATTTCCTGTAATAATAAATTTTAATCTACAACTATGTAATTTTTCATTTCATACATCTCAAAAGGAATGACTATTTAAAGAGAATATTAAAAAATTATTAAAAAGCAAATCAGCAACGGAAGTAAAAAGGTACGTTTTAAAATTTCACGGGCCGGTTTTTAGGGCCAAACGAGGCATCCTACTCTGGTTCCAGTTAATAATTTAAATAAGATTGATTAATTCTGCATCTTTGCTACTGACTCAGTGACTTATTGGTCAAGTTATTCAATAATTGATGATGATAAACATCAACGAAATGGAAGCTTTAAGTCATTTTTGAAGTCCTGTAAAGGCAATGATTCAGAGACGAAGCTAGGTGGTTTTCTTCGAGATTTATAGGAGATTGTTAAAGAGTGTCTGGAAGGCCATAGGGTTTAAAATTGTTAACTCTGGCGTATATCCTCTAGTATTTGATAATTCAAATATGAATCTAGTTGCTACTGCTGTAAATGCTATCTAATTCTTGGGCAATACTAGATTGCCTTTAGTGCAACAATAAGGAATAACGATTGAAGCCTTTTTTTGCAATTTATAGTAAGCAAGTTCCCAAACTACACTACCCAACTTTTTTCCATCAAAAACTTGTCACAAAAAATTAATTTCTGTCACTAAACAATTTTTTTCTCTTTTTTTATCCCATTTTTTTTTGCTTGCCATTCTCATTTATTCTAATAGCACAATGATGATGATGACAATGAGGATGAGATGAAAAGATGTACAGCAATGAATGAACGAGAAGGATTTTCATCATTAAATATTTGATTTTAATTCACTTTACATTGCTTGTATCTTTCTAGTGCTATGCTGATTGCACAATTACGATGTTGAGTTTTGCATTCGATGAGAATAGCTTTGCGGAATCTTCCTTCCATTTATCTGCAAACAATAAGATTTTTTTATTCCAAAATTAAGTTAAAGAAGCTCCTAGCACTTGAAAAATTGTTTTATTTATGTTCCTTCATGTTTCAAACTGATTATTCGACTTCTTAAAAGGCTTCTGTAAATGATTGAGATTAGAATTACGAATGGTCTGTTAACTGCTCAAGTGGATTTTATTTCGAGTGGTCTGAAAGCTATTCTCAGCACTTTTTTAAATCTCTCACATTAAAGACTTACTTCAACTTTCTAATTTAAGTGTCTTCGGAGAAAAAGTGCTGTAAGGAATGGACAACATCGTCGAAATAAACAAAATACTTTAATGCCAATGCCAAGGAATACAACAGCAACAAAGAAAACACAAAACACAATTTTGAGATCGTACAACAAGGTACTCAAAATCATCAGATTTCCATTTCAACGCTTCTTTATCTTCTTATATTGCCATGACCACTTCACTCTCCATCTCACTCACTATAATATTCTTGTCGCTATTGCTGTTGTTATCCGTACATATTTTTCTGTTGTTGAATATTAGCTTCTTATTTATAAAGAGAGACTAGAATCAATGAAGCTTGGAGATGGGGACATTGAATGGATGGGAGACAGGAAGGATATCTTTTTGTGAAGGTGATAAAATGAAAATTGAGAACATTTTTGTTGAAAATTTTCGAGTAAATCGCTTTTATTCTTTAGACAATATTACCTACTGAATTGAACTTAGTATGTATTGTGTCCTTGTGGAGACTTTTAAGGTTTTAATGCTGCCTGTAGTATTTTAATTATCATTTTTAGACATTAGACACTGCTCCCTCGATGATTTTACTCTCAAATGTAATAAATCTCAGTCTGCACGCTTTAGATTTTCGCTCCTAATTTGATGATCCATACTACTCGGGTCGGTTATATCCAATATTGACAAACAATTGAACAAATGTATAAAATCAAGGCAATAAAAACTTTTCACACAGATTTGATGCTCCAAAAAATGTAAACTATATAAATTCCACCTGAAATCAATCCAAGGATTCTAAATTCGAGAGAATAAGTACGATGTAGAAGTACAAACTCATCAATAATACACAACACACTTCTCATTTTGGTATAGAAGCTTAAGTGAAAAAGAAGCTTTAAAAGAGCTTTATTTGGTGTGAAGATGAATACAAAAAGGTACCGAAAAGAAGATTCTTTTTTTTTTCGTTGAAAAAGAAGAGCAAATAAAAAGTTTAAGGATGTTAAGGAAAAGAAAAAGATTTTTCATTTAATAAATAAATAAGCAGTTCAAAGAAAATGGATTTAGTTCTTTTTATAGTATTTAAGGAGTTGTTTTGGGAAACGGACTCTTTTTGTTTGTAAGGGTGTAATTTGGGGTGGGACTTATGACTTTAAATGATGTTAAAGACTTAAAGGTTGTTAACATGAGATTTTTGTTGTGTTTTGCTGATATTGTTTATTTTGGGTGTAGCTAACAACATATTAAGGATGTTTTGATACTAAGCTTGTGCTTCTCAAACTTTACTCAACGATACACAACTGCAGTGGTTCTCAACCTTTTCAAAGATATTTAAATTGCAATATTTCGACAAAAAACTGAATGAATTGTTCACATCGCAGTGTGTCATCGAACATAGATTGAGAAGCACTGCACTTCTGTGTCATAAAAATCTCCAGATGTTTTGCAAAATGTGTTTCGATCGAAAAAATTGAGATCAACTGTTCTAAAGTAGCTCCTTTTAAAGTTGTGCTAATTGTGCTATAGTTCTTGGCTGTCTGGATCATTCTAAAATGTCTTTTCAGTTGTCTAGCTCATTCCCAATTGCGTATGACTCCTTTATCCTTCATTTCATTATTTTACTTTGTCATAATTTTATAAATTAGATTAAACGAACGAATCTTTTGGCATTTATCAGCCACAACTTCTCCTTAACCTAACATTTGATAAAATAATCTTTTGAATATTCATAAAAACATTCATTCAAATATTCAAAGTAATTGAATAGATTCAAACTTTTGCATCAATTATTCCCTTACACATAACAAGATTATTCGCCTTTTTGAGAATTCTAATGAACTTTTTAATACTCAAAGTAATGCAAATACAACAAAACATGAAGACAGAATAAATTGACCTTTATCAGTGAACGAGAAAGCAAATTTCATAAGCAGTAAGAAGCACATAAGCTTCAAATAAAGTTTCTCCTGCAATATGCTACAAACATATTCACCATTTGAAATCTAATTGACTTAAGAATCATTTTATGTGCTATGTATGTTGGAGCATCAATGGCAGTGGCAATTTATGAGAGGTTAAAATCATACAAATAATGTGCTTTGGAGAGATGCTCAAGGGCTCTTTTATCTATCTACCCACCCACTCGTAATACCGTTTATTATTTGCAATCATTTGTTCTACGTATGGTTTTGAGATAGATCTTTGTATGTTTGTGTTGTTGGATGCTGTACTTTTTGGAATTTCTGATATGCTTTAAAGGATGGATGTTTTGGTTGTTTTCTTATGCAATTTTATATTCTTATTTAAACTAGGTTCTTATGGATATTGCTCGGGCCATAAATATAATACATGAGCTAAACCCTAGTTGTAGCCAAGCTCACTTTTAAGATTGAAGACATTTACAGTTTTGGATATCATAAAAACACAACTGCTAATCTGTAACAGTAAAACATTAGAAACATAGCAATGTGCGTCTTGACAGCGAGGGTTCATAGGATATGATGCAACCACCTTAACATGGGTGCGTTTTTAAGGTACTATTCGGTGCAATCCACCCCAGAATCTTGATTGAAAAAGTTGAGAAATCTCAGGCAGCCTTGGAAATCTCCCAAAATATGCATTTTGTCTACCTCTATTCTCTTGCATAACTCTAGTTCTCGACTCATATGCAGTAGAATCATAAAGTTTTATTTATTTATTTTACTATCTGAATTGGCAGTTATGCAAGCAATATGGAGCAACAGAATGAGTATGTCAATGATTCTATTGATGGGAAAAAATAGTTTCACTCGAGATGAGTTTCCGGGTCCATTAACATTCAAAGAGAATGATATGAAAGAATTACTCAGCATAATAATAATAACTAAATGTATGTTATGAATGGTGAGAGACAAGTTATTAGACTAATGGATATGGATGCATATGGCAGTTTGAAGTTCATTTTTACTACTTTTTTTGCACTGAATGTTTTTATGTAAATAACTTGTGATAGTTCCTTTCTTCTTTTATATCTTGTTTGTCTTTTCTCTTAAGTATTGTATAAAATGAGCATAGCTATATTCCATATGGAATGAGATAGACATTATTGTTTAGCTCGGAAGTAGAACTAAAGCCCACAAAAGTGTGGTGAGCAACAACACATGATGTTGATGATGATGGTGATATTCATATTATACGAATAATCCTCGTAAGAATAGAAGTACAAAAAAAACATATTTTTTAGAGTGCAATATATATGACTTTTGTTTATTTTCCACTAGTACCTTACTTGATAATCCACTACATTGAAGCTTTTTGTGTACATGAGAAATTACTTAAAAAATTCTGCTGTTGTTATCTTATGATAAGTTTATTTTAATATTATAAGCGCTAAGAAATGTTTTTAAGGATTTTTATTTAAATATTTCAATCAAGTGTGTGGAACTGATCAATCACATTTTGATCATTTTTGATCATTTCATCAGTACCGCATCCTTGATTTTAATCAGGAGGCGAGGATATTCAACCCTAATTATAGTCATTTTATACTTGATTCTCATTGTGGAGTTTATCTGTAATGATTGATCGTAAGAGAACCAAGAGAGCACTACATAGAACTTGACTTTAGAAAGACAATACTTTATCAAAATTAGCAATACTCCAAGAACCTAAGTTTGATAAATTTAAAAAAACCCTTTACCTATTCAGATCAATTGTGATCCAGAGATGCGCTAGGGCGTTTCGCAGGTAATGAGAGTTTAGAAAATAGTAGGATCCAAACCACTCCTTTGATTGCATTTCTACCTACAGCCTACAAAGGAAGGCTGTGAGACTCATTCCCAGTCCATATGATTCGAAAAAGGATAACTGAAAATTTTCCCATGCTGAGTCTCGAACCCATGATCGCTGTGCCGGTATTGCAATAATTAGATACTAAAGTACTAAACCATTCCGCCACCGAGCCACTTCAGTTCACGATAAATTTCAAAATAAATGTAAAACATCAATCATAAAACAGTAGCGACTTGTATTTATTGATTCACAATTTACTTACTTATACATTATATTTCACAACAAGAGAAAATTTGTTTTGCTTTGTTTATTCGCATTTAAAATAAACGTTGAGAAGCTTTTTGTTCCTAAGATGATAAGGTTTACCCGCTCTATTGCTCTTCGTAATTAATAAAAATTAATTTCATCATAATATTCTCATTTTTTGCATTAAAAAGTGATGAAAATTATTTGAAGTCTATCAATAATATTTTAACTTTCAAAGCAAATACTTAGAGCTAAGTTTAAGCTTAGTTGAATTATTTTAAAAGTGCTTTAAAAATGAGTTTTAAAATTTTATTTTTTACTGCATTATTAGTGCATTGTGTTTTGATTAATGGAGGACAAGTTGTGAAAAAACAACAATTTCATAGATACTTAGGTGACTCTTGTCGATTAATAGATAGATCAATAGGAATTTGCCAAAAGACTGAAGATTGCAAAGGATCAGTCAAAGAGTATCTTCATCAGAAGAAATTCTCAGAAATAACTTTGTGTGCTTTTGATAAGGATAAACCAGTTTTGTGCTGTGAAAATATTATTGAAGTTCTCCCGCCACCATCTCAATTGGTGACTCCATTTCAAAAGCTTTTGTGTGAAAATAGTCCAAAAACACCTCGACTGTCTAAAAATATTGTGGGTGGAGATTTAACAGAACCTCGTGAATTTCCACATCAAGTTGCTATTGGTTATCAACAAGATTCACAAAGTCCAATTGAATTTAAATGCGGAGGATCTCTTATTAGCGACAGACTTGTTTTAACAGCTGCTCATTGTGTAAACATAGAATCTCCTAAAATCGTTAGATTAGGAAGGGTAAGTAGATTAAGTTTTGATTTATTTTTACATTTATTATTTTTTTTCCATCACATAGGTGTCTCTTGTGCCAGATGTATATGATTACGCACCAATTGTTGATAAGAGAGTACAAGTAAGTTAAGATTTGAACCAAAGAGATCATTCAAAATTATATTTGTGTATAATTTGTGATAGGGAGGGGGAGGGGTTTATAAATATTAGCTTTTGATGATTAACATTTATAAACGATCTCTAGTTCCAAAACTAGATTTATAAATATTATAAAAAATTTTCAACAGAAAATAAATATTCATCCGAATTACTCGAGAGGAACAAGGTTAAATGACATTGCATTAATTCATCTAAGCAAAGTGGTAAAATTCTCTGATCATATTCAACCGATTTGTCTTTCTGGTCCAAGAGATTTAACACATAAGAATATGACAGTTACTGGTTTTGGAACGATCAACACAGACAGTAAGTATATAAATATTAAAGTGTGATTTATGAAACCTTATAAGGATGGAATCAGAATTTATCATTATTTCGAGGGGGAGGGGGTCCTTCAAAAACCCTAGTTAATTGAATTTTTTACCTAAATTTTGAGATCGAACCTCCACCCCTTTCCCTTGATAAATCCCTGGTTTGGCTTGGGGTGAGGGCTTCACCTTTGGAATCTTAGAACTCAAAGAGCATTGAATCAAGCTCCTTGTCAGTCAAACAATTATAACAGACTCTTCTTTTAGCCAATAAAAGGTCAGACTGGCTTCGAAAAGCAGTAATTAAAGGAACTCCATTTGATAAATGTAAAGCAACCATAAGAGAGCTCGACGACAGTCTAGACATCAATGATACTCAGTTTTGTGCCTTGGGAAAAAATAATGAAGATGCATGCAAAGGCGACTCCGGAGGTAATTTTGATTTTATTTGATTTGTGAAATTTTTAAATCTTCTTGTTAAAAGTAAAACATTTAGGTCCAGTTATTCACGACGAAGGTAAGTACTTCTGAAAATTAAGTCATCCTAAAATTCATTATTAATTGTAATTATTAAACTAGATAATCAACACCAATTGTATGGAATTGTATCGTTTTCAATCGGATGTGGTGGCATTCCAGCTGTTTACACAAAGGTTGATAAGTTCCACGAATGGATTGAAAGTCAAATGAAATAAAACCAAACATTTCTAGCCATTTATTTTATAAATGAATTGTTATTAATTTAAAACCACAATAAAGTATTATTTTATAAAAACATTATCAATAGTTTTGTTAAAAAAGTTGTTGTTCGTGATTTTTCTTACAAATTTGCTGACTTATAAAATTTGAGGTCATTAAAAATAATCAATTTTTTGCAGCATTATGAAGTAAAGATTGGAATAAGTTGTTTGAAATATTCAAGATATAGCTAAGATTAGCATTGTACAATATAAGCTTAGCTAAGTTTAACTTCGTGTAGGTTCTTGGTTCTGGGAATTTAAGATGACACCATATTTTGGATCCATATTCTTCGATTGTCAAAGTAGTTGCATGATCAGAAATAATTTCAAAGCTATTAAGTGCAGATTAAGTGAACTGTTAACATTCTGTAAAATAATTAAACATGATCATGACTTTTATTGATAATATTTTAATTAAATATATATTTTGAAAAGGTTGCAAAAACGACAATTTGTTTTATTTTGTAAAGTAATATGTTTTTAACCTTATAAGGATGATCAAGCTTTCAAAAAAACAAATTTTAAAATTTCTTAATACATTTTTGATTTACTTTTTCATTTATTTTTGTTTTATGAGTTTACTATCATCAAAAAGATAATACATTATGCATCATTATTGTCAGTAGAGATTAAGACAGAAAAAGAGTAAGAGAATCTCTTTTATTAGTTTGTTCTCTCGGACACAAGAATGTAAATAATCTAGATTCTATAATTTTTACAATATTAGCAATTATTTATTGCTAATTGCTACTTGCTTGACGAGATTGATAATACTCAATAAAATTAAGATTGAGTAGAAAAAGTATATTCGCTAGATAAGAAGATGATAAGGTTCTCTTGTTCTCCTGCTCTCTTACTCCATAAAATTAATTTCATCATAATCTTCGTATTTTTTTTCTTTTAAAATTGACTTCTTGGAAAAAAAAATGTTTGAGCAGTTTCAGTTATGAAGGCTATCAGTGCTTTGTATTTCGAGTCATCTTTGTTGCATTCGTGTTTTTGTCTTATAAGGAAAAGATTAATAATTTAAAAAGAACGAAGAAACATTAAATAAATTTAAAAATGTGGATTAAACATTTAATTATGCTGTATACAATCAGTTTAAGTTTTTCCGCATCAAATATTTTTACAATTGATCAAGATAAATACTTAGGTGATTCTTGTGGATTATGGAATGGTTTAAATGGAACTTGTGTGAAAGCAAAAGAATGCAATACAATTAGAAAAGGCAATAGCATTACAAGGTGTGAATTTGACTTTAATACATTGATTGTCTGTTGTCCAAATATTGAAGAAAATCAATCTGAAACTACAATAATATCAACTTTTCGAAAAACAACGGAGTTTCAAGACAATGTTAGAGCAGACAACGAAGAAACTGCATATCCTGAATTATTAAATCTTCACAATCCAAGATTTGATAAAATGTTGTGTAAAAATGTTAAAACTGAATTGAAGTTTGTTCAAAATATTGTTGGTGGATCAATGGTGGAAGTAGCTGAGTTTCCCTATCAAGTGATCCTCGGTTATTTGAAAGATAACAAAATTGAATTTAATTGTGGAGGTTCGCTTATTGCCAACAATCTAGTCCTAACGGCAGCTCATTGTGTTAATAAATTACAACCTGAAGTTGTTAGATTAGGAAGAGTAAGTTTTTAAAAACAAATTAGTGTCAATCTTTAAAGCTTTTAGTAAAGTAAAATTCTATTTTATTCAGACATCTCTTGTTGACAACGAAGATGATTATGGACCAGTAGTGGATGTTGGAATTAAAGTGAGTAGCTTCTCTTGCCAAATTTTACTGAACTAGTTTTCAGAATATGAATAATCTTCAATTTGCTACAAACTTTCTACATTATTTTTACCTAAACTCCTTTTTTAGAAAATTATATTTCACAAAGATTACAACTTAATCAGAAAAACGCATGACATTGCATTGATACAGCTCAATAATCCTGTTGAGTATTCATATTTTATAAAACCTATTTGCCTTTCACAAAATGACGACATTTGGAGTAAAAATTTAACAGTGTCTGGGTATGGAATAATGAATACAGACAGTAAGAACTGAAAAATCTTTTAATAGCTACAAAAAATTTAAAAAAATTGTTTATTTATTTAGAAAATATAAAATCAAATTGGCTAATGAAAGCTACAGTCCAAGAATATGACTTCGATGATTGTAGAAAAGAATATGAGGAACTCAATAAAACAGTTGTAAAATCACAGATGTGTGCGATAGGTTTGAATGGTGCTGATGCTTGTTCAGGTGATTCAGGAGGTCCACTAATTTATGAGGAAGGTGAGTTGTAGTTGATGATTTAATCATGATAGTTAATGTAAAGTGAAACTCAATTAAAACATTTGTTTTGTCTTCCTAAAGATTCACAAGATCGTCTAATCGGAATCACATCTTATTCAATTGGATGTGGATCTGAGTTTCCAGCTGTTTATACAAGAATTGGTGAATTTTTGAAATGGATAGAATTAAATGTTAACAAATTGGATCAAGATTCCAACTCTTAAATTAGATTTAATCAGAGTTGATATCTTGCCTTTGACTTTGAAAAAGGCAAATCTTTCAAAGGCAATGCAAAGGCAAGGTTTCAAAAAAAATCTTTTGTCAAAGGCACTTGAAAGGCAAAGTTTACTGGTTTTTACCTTTGCAAAGGCAAGTTTTAAGGCAAAGGCAATTTTTTTTGCCTTTTCAAAGATTTGCCTTTGCCTTTAACCTTGCCTTTGCAAAGGCAGAAAAAATTGCCTTTGCCTTAAAACTTGCCTTTGCAAAAGGCAAAATCTTCCAAGGTCAAAGGCAATTTGCTGGGTGAGAGCTCGATTCAGAAGAAAGAAAATTGTTTGAAAACTTTTGCTCAGGGAATTGGATCAATACGATTTTTGATGGACGTTATTTATGATCAACTCCTGATATAATCCTTGTAAAAATTACACAACTGCCAAATTCAATTTTTTTAAATTTAAAACAAAAATATGAATATCATGTGGTTCTGAAAATTTCAAATCACATTTTGTATGTCTTATGTTTTTAGTCAAGTCATTTTTAGTGCACCATATACACAAGTTAAAATTGAACGCACCTTCTCAATTTTTGCTCTTGTGTTGTCGCACATTAGAACGAATCTATCTAAAGATTCATTAGGTTCTATAATCGTCGTCAGAGACAATTTAGATCTTATTGATCGTATTAATTTAGTTTAATATGTAAAATATAATTCTAAATGAATCGTTCTGCATTTGCTCATTAATTTTTACTACGTTTTTCTTAACTTGCTTTCTTATCTGTTTGATTGATTGATTGATTGATTGTCCGCAAAATTTCGTACTTTTGTAATCGATTTTTCGACCACTTCTACTGCTCCAATCGAGCTAAAATTTTTAATGCACACGTATTCCCGGTGACAATACAATATTTTAACACTTTGGAAACACAAAAATGCTTAATTATAGTACAATTTATGTAAAAGCTTTTTATATGGGAAAAAATCCAATGTCAATGATATAAAATTTTGATTTGTATTAAATTATACTTTTGATGCTCTAAAGTCATTTATATGATTCATTATAGTTTAATTAATATTAGTAATTATTAATTATACCATAAATTTGAGCAGCTAAAGATATTCTGGTAAGACAAAAAAATTGACAAGTAATTTTTTCATGAATATTCGTAAGTGAATATTTGAATTTTCAAAAAAACCGTTAAGCACAGGTCCGTTACGAATTAATGCAAAATAACTATTAATATGCGATGTGCATTTAGCACACAAAGTTTGAGCATAAATTTATGCTGTTTTAAATGTATTGCATTATTTATAACACTTCACCAACTTAATTAAATTGACTTTTTTTTTATTAACGGTTTGACGTATTTTTGCATAACATATAAATGATATTCATTGAATTTAAATTTGAAAATCCGTTATAAATACGTTACATATAGATGTGATTTGCATCTTTATGTTAAGAATCCACACGTTATGAAGTAGAAATGGTACAGATAAACACAAAATCTTTACGAGTGATTTTTAATGTACTTTACTAATGAATGCTTTAAAAAAATTAAATTTTATAAAACGAATGAAAAATTTTGAAAGTCGTTACTAATTTCCCATTGAAAACTGGTAATTTATAAACAGTTGAACGTAACGAAGTGCAACGAAGTGGAGTTCAACACACCTGTAACCTATGAACCTACTGTAATCTATAAACAGTTGAACGTAACGAAGTGAAACGAAGTGGAGTTCAACACACCTGTAACCTATAAACCTACTGTAATCTATAAACAGTTGAACGAAACGAAGTGCAACGAAGTGGAGTTAAACACACCTGTAACCTATAAACCTACTGTAATCTATAAACAGTTGAACGTAACGAAGTGCAACGAAGTGGAGTTCAACACACCTGTAACCTATGAACCTACTGTAATCTATAAACAGTTGAACGTAACGAAGTGAAACGAAGTGGAGTTCAACACACCTGTAACCTATGAACCTACTGTAATCTATAAACAGTTGAACGTAACGAAGTGCAACGAAGTGGAGTTCAACACACCTGTAACCTATAAACCTACTGTAATCTATAAACAGTTGAACGAAACGAAGTGCAACGAAGTGGAGTTCAACACACCTGTAACCTATGAACCTAATGTAATCTATAAACAGTTGAACGTAACGAAGTGAAACGAAGTGGAGTTCAACACACCTGTAACCTATAAACCTACTGTAATCTATAAACAGTTGAACGAAACGAAGTGCAACGAAGTGGAGTTAAACACACCTGTAACCTATAAACCTACTGTAATCTATAAACAGTTGAACGAAACGAAGTGCAACGAAGTGGAGTTCAACACACCTGTAACCTATGAACCTAATGTAATCTATAAACAGTTGAACGTAACGAAGTGAAACGAAGTGGAGTTCAACACACCTGTAACCTATAAACCCCCTATAATTTTTATTTCTCTATTGCATTAGAATAAGACTAAAAAGTAGAAAATAAAATACTTTATAAAAAAAAACTTTTTAAAAAAACTACGTTTTTCGCGTAGACTAAAAAGTAGAAAATAACTTTTATTTTTGGTTGTAAAGAATTTGGTTTTAAATTTTCAGATTATATTTAATAAATTTTTATATCCTAGTCAATATTGTTCACAAAGTTTCGAATAAGTGCACTTTGATCTTATCGTATAACTCAACAACTTAAAAACGTGGGCGCATTATAAGAGGAGAAATAAGTTTATGTGAAATCAATACTTTATGATAAACTTAAATTAATGCGCCCACGTTTTTAAGTTGTTGAGTTATACGATAAGATCAAAGTGCACTTATTCGAAACTTTCTGAACAATATTGACTAGGATATAAAAATTTATTAAATATAATCTGAAAATTTAAAACCAAATTCTTTACAACCAAAAATAAAAGTTATTTTCTACTTTTTAGTCTACGCGAAAAACGTAGTTTTTTTAAAAAGTTTTTTTTTATAAAGTATTTTTTTAAATATAAAATATATCCTGCTTCAAAACTAAAATCAGTGGTTTTATCTATCATGAAAATTTAAAATTAATAAGTATGAAAAATTTTTACAATTTAAATTGAAATGGAAAGTCAAAGCTAATTCAAAGATAAAGGCATTTGTCTTTAAAATGCATTTTTAGGCAAAGGCAAGAAAACATTGCCTTTTGAAAAGGCACAAAAAAGGCAAAGGCAATTTTTTCTGCCTTTGCAAAGGTAAAGTCAAAGGCAAAGGCAGTGTCTTGCAAAGGCAACTAAAAAGGCTTGTGCCTTTTTTGTGCCTTTGCAAAAGGCAAAATCTTGCAAAGTCAAAGGCAATGCCTTTGTCAAAGGCAAATCCGTATCAACTCTGGATTTAATTCTTGATGTTTATTTTTAAGTTTCGTACCTAGATTCTGATGAAATCAAATCTTAGAGATGACGAATATTATTAATATTTATGAAGTTCAATAATTATCAAATTTTTAAAGATGCTCAATCGTGCAAAAAACAAATTTTATGAATTTCACAATACATTTAATGATGATTTTGTTTTACTTCAACTGACCTGATGAATATTCGGGCATTAAATTTTGATTTAATAAAGCACTGTTATTATCAGTTAAAACTAATAGAGCACAAGAGCAAGAGAATCTCTTTTTATTTTGGGTTTTTTTGGAAATTGTTTTCACATCTCAATTTGAGTTTTAAATGATTCATTCCTCTCAATCGCCGTTTTGCATTGAGAGGATAAAGTTTAGGAAATAAATATAAAAATAAAAATGTCCAAAATATATTTAGTTTTAAGTGTTTTCAACGTAATATTTGTATCATCTAATGAAAGTCCACTAGTATTTAGTAAAGTAGAAACATATTTAGGAGACCAATGCACAGTGTCTGGTGGGATAGAAGGAAAATGTGTAAAAGCTAATCAATGCACAACAATTAAAAGTTATAAGAACATAACAAGATGTGAGTTTGACAAAAACGATTTAATTGTTTGTTGTCCTGGCTTTAAAGAAATAGCAAGTTCGGATGAAAAACTCATGAGAATGAGAGACATTGATGAAGTAAACACAACAGCTTATCGAAATTATGATTTCAAAAATGAAAGATTTAATCAAATTTTATGTAAAAATCACGAGCCAAGAGAAAAGTTCCTTCCAAATATAGTTAACGGAAATGAAGCTGATGTTGCTGAGTTTCCATATCAAGTAGCTCTTGGCTATCAATCTACAACTGGTTCTTATGATTTCAACTGTGGAGGATCTCTCATATTAGACGATATTGTCATAACAGCAGCTCATTGCGCACATCTTAAAGAAGCTCAGCCTGTAATTGTTCGATTGGGCAGAGTAAGTTGATATTGTTGAGGTTACAAAATGTTAGTGCCAGTACTGAGATGTAACATTGATCCAGGGTCGTCTTCGGTTTGAATTAAAAAATCCTATTCAAACCGAAGTTCCACTATGCTCTCGTTCTCAGGAGGAGAAGCTTAATACCTAAATGTAAATTTGATTAGATTCTTTCAAATATTTTCAGACATCTCTTGTGGAAAGCATGTATGATCATGGACCAATTGTTGATGTTGAAATTAAAGTAAGCTAATGCCAATCTCTAGCTGGAAATGAAAATTGGATGTATTTGTCTTGCTCCTTATTAGAGCTTGGTATTGATTATTACATTTTAATTCCAGAAAATAATAGTTCATGAAAAAAGTAAAAGAGTCACACGAGAAAATGACATTGCACTGATAAAATTGAGTAGGAAAGTTGAGTTCACTCATTACATTAAGCCTATCTGCATTTTGGATGATATTGACAGTTGGAATAAAAATTTAACTGTGACAGGATTTGGAGTTGTAGATCCAGACAGTAAGCAGTTTATTAATTAATATTTATGTGATCAAATTTAAAGAATCTAATTTTAGCAAAAATGCGATCAACATGGCTAATGAAAGGGATTGTCCAAGAAGAAGAAATCGAGGATTGTAGAAAAAGTTACAGTATAGTCAGCAAAACTATTTTTGATACACAAATTTGTGCATCCGGGAAATTCAACACTGATGCTTGTCAAGGCGATTCTGGTGGTAATTTAAGTACTTAATTATTTCTATTTCTGTAATAATTTTTATTTCATTGTGTTTTCTTCTAGGTCCACTTATTCTTCATGAAAGTATGTTTTTAATGATGAAAATCTAGAATTTAATAATAAGCAGGAACAATTAAATAATTTTAGATAATCAAGAAAGTTTGTACGGAATCACATCACATGGGAATGGGTGTGGATCAGATTTGCCAGCTTTATACACAAAAGTTGATAGATTTTTGAAATGGATTGAACAAACAATTTTTATGTTAGATAAATCTGACGTATTGCAATCATGAATTAGATACAATGGTAGTTTAAATACTCAAAACCAAAAAAATGGCTATAAGATTAATAAAAAGATAATGATATATAAGATTACTAGCGACTAGCACGTGCCCCCCTCTTCCCCCATTCAAATTTTATTTATTACGTTAGTACGAAAATTTTATAAAAAGCATAAATAGTTATAAAAATCCTTAAAAAACGCTTACACCTGTGGCTCGACAATGATTAAAATCATCAACTTGTTACAATTTTAATTAATAATTTGCTTGATAACACATGACATTAGCTTGAATTGTTTACATTCAGAAGAAATAAAGTTTAGTGTTTCCCCAAAATTATCAATTTTTTTTTAATTTGCACAGTATTATGGATGAAGAAATACGTGAATGAATGAGGTTCCGTTTATAAATGATGTCAAGAACTTAGAAGGGGAGGGGTCTGAAATCTTACTGATACAAATTTCGTGACTGAAGGAAGAAAGTGGAATCTTAAAATCAATATTATTCATGGACATCACTCATGAATACTTGCATGCAAGATTAATGAGGATCTTGAACTCTTTAACTTTTCTTATCAAATCAAAATAAATGACCAAAATATTTTGGGAATACCGGCAAGCTCGTTTATGTTTTAGCTAAAATTGCTCAATACATTTGAGCATTAATTGAGAATTAATCATAGCTCTGAGACAAGAAGATTAAAAATTACCTTATCAAACCTCATAAGAACTAAAACTCAGTCATTTTGTAATGCATTTTCAGAGCTCGAAGTCGATGAAATTTTGTATGCAGTCGATACAAAATTGATAAAAATCTCGAGTCGACTTCAAGCTCTGTGCATTTTTAACAAGCCCCTTTAAAAACAAATCTTAATTCTTCTCTGATTAAAATATTAACTATTCAAATTAATCAAAACTTACTCCAAACCTTAAAATGTAAAATAAAAATAAGCCACAGAAAAAAAAATCCTCAATTTTTAAAACAAAATTGTGTAAAAAAATTTAAACAAGCATCCTTTATGTGATAAAAAGCTCCATTTTTTGTTTAATAAAATAAAATTATTGAGAAGCTGTCGGAACCATATGGCAACATTTCCTTCTAAACACATACCCCAAAAAAAAAATGAAAAGTTTATTCTATAAGTAAGAATTTTTACGATTTATATTTTGACGTTGAATCGCACTTGCGAGAGATTTTTTTTATATTTTTGTTGCCATATGTGTGCATATTTGTAGAGTGGTTGAAATGCCACTACTTATGTAAGCACTACACATATACAATATATTTATTTATTTTTCTGTATGTTTATAGACTTATATTTATAGTAAAAAAAAGGAGAGAGGTCAACATTGGGGATATGTGGATGCTGAATAATAAAACACATTTCATATATTTTTCTGTGTAAGTGGCATTCGCTGATCATAATTCTCCCCCGCTTTGCAGCTTCAATAAAAGCTCAAATATTTGCTTCTAAATGAGTTGAGGGAAAAAAATATGAAATAAAAGAAAAACAAGAGGATTGGACGAGTTTGGAGTGATGGGGATGTGCAGCTGGTTGAACGTGTGTGTTATGGATTGAACGATTTGTCATCCTTGTTGTGTACACTATGCCACGGGTGTAATGAGATCACCATGGTTCCATTTAATTTTAATTTATCAAATAAAAATTTGATCTTTAATTTCCAAATCCTTAAAATCGCGCTACATTCCAGAAAAAGCAAAACAAAAAATCCTCTGTTAATATAATATAAAAAATTTCTCTATAACAATAAAAACCCGGGGACTTCATTTTTATATTGCAAAACACTACAACAAATCTTTTTTCATTCATTCCATTTTTTTTTATCACAATTTCTCTCTCACCCTCATTTAAACAATAGAAATGTACACAACAAGCAATTGTTTGTTGACCAACCAGCATCAGCAACTCATTTCTTCTTTGTCATATAGATGGAAATATAACAACATTGTGCAATATGGAACAACAACAACTATTAGTATTGTTTTTTGTGCAATTCAAATAAAAGCCATTTGACAATGCAGCAGAAATTTTTACTTCATATTTGTGCGATTTATGTGCGATCTATTTTTTTTTATGAAATTTCGCCGATGCTGGGATTGGGTGGAGTGGGAAATAAGAAGGAAGAGACACAAGAGAAATAACATTTTCAACTTTGTTTATTTTGCAATTTTTTTTACATTCTTTTCTTCTCTCTCGATTGTGTACTTTACCATACAGACCATGCAGAACGTAAAGTTTTATGAAAATAACCAGACAATCCAATACAAGAGTCAACCAATTTGATAAAACAATATTTCAATTCTCTATCAGTACGTTTTTTTCTGTTTCGGGGAATTTATGCCTTATTTCCCATCAGCCGGTTGTTCTCTAAGCAATAACGATGTGTGATGTGAATACAGTCTATTCAGGGAAAACAAGAAAGATTTGGAATGAGATGTGAATTAAGTGATGTTGATGAGTTGAGAAGGAATTGGCGAATGGTGCGCAAGTTTTGTGTAATTTAAGATTTTTTTAGTGGTCAGGTTTTACTTGAACGTCCTGCTAAAGTCATGCTCGAGCTAGGATTCTTAAAAATAACCCTTAAGACTTCTACCACCGCTAACCCTAATTTAGTAAGCTTGAATTCAACAATTGCAATTTTTGTGGTTGATTTTAAGTCATAAAGTAAATTGCCTCAGATGCCAGTTTCTAGTTCTATTATCGAAATCTATGTCCTTCATTCTGAGGTTTAAACCACACTTAGCCTTTGACATGCAAGTGACAAGATTTAGGATATTATAAATAGCTCAAAACTTAGCTACTGAATTATTTATGCTGAAACCCACCCAAAAATCCTGAGTGTTCCAAGTTTCAAAGGATATAACCCATTTAAAAATATTTTACGTGCAGTAACTGAATCGAAATCAACCCAAAGTGCCAACCCTAGCAAAAATTATTCCAACCTAAAAGCTGCTTCCGAAAAAAAAAAAGATTTAAATGGAACAAACAATTGTATAAAATGCAAAACTCGACATATTGTGGTGCCAGTAAGCCACGAAATGAAACAGAATAGGGATAGCACAGAACAAAAAGTTTTATTTCAGAATGCACAGAAAAAAATGTGTCAGACTATTAAAAAGAATTAGAAGAAATGTTATTCGAATATGGCATGATTCAGAGAGCACGAGCTGCAACCAAAAGGTGCCACTATGAAATGAGAATCTCTCTCTCTCTTCATATCTAGCCAAAAAAAAGAAATATTATGACAAGAAAGGCAGGCATGAATGGGAAACTTGTGAATAGATAGATAGACAGATATGGGTATGAAAAGATGAGGGAAACTATATTCTTCCTTACTATTATTGCTGACATATTATTTGATTATTGCTGTTGTTGTACGAATCTTTTTAGTGCTGTCATGAAACATGAGAGAATCAAATAATTGCTGGTAAAAGTGAAAGGAGATTAAACAAGATATGAAAAATGTGTAAATGTAATGCAGAAGCTATGACCAATAATCATCAAAAAAGTGGATGCGTGATTGCGGATTTTTGTACGTGTACGTGTTGTGTAACTTGAGGATGATTATTCGTGAATTGTTGAAGACCCCTTACATGAGTAGTTGTCAATCTTTATTGGTACTGAGACACACAAGGGGGATAACAGCAAAATTGGAAATTTCCTTCAACATTGTGAAATTTTTGGGGGATGTTTAAGGGGAAAACAACATGAAGGGAATATTTTTGTTTTGCAACTTTATCCCAACATGTTGTTTTCCCCTCCGCGACACACTTGTAAGTTTCACTGACACAATATCATTTGCAAAAAAGTTTTGGACAGTTGAGTATCGTGTCGCATACTTGAAGAAGCACTGACACACATAATTCCTAATTAGCTTCAAACCTTAGCTTTAGATTTTTAATTCAACATTTGAGTTTCTTTCTTGAGCTGTCTAAATCCTCAATATTCAGCTTATCTCCTCCAACAGCTAACATTCCTTCTTAATCATAAAAATCCAAAAAAACTCATCTTAAACATTCATTCCATTCCATCTCATTTCTCATTCTTATTTCCCTTCATCTCGTTTTCTACTTCATTTTATGACATTGAACCATAAGAATGCGACGTGCAACGAGATGATCCTACTTTCATTTATCGTGCTGTTCCTTCAGTTCTTCATAAAAATACTAAGCCACTTCATAAATAAGCACACAAATATTATATGTACACGAGAGAAGAAAAAAATGAGAGATGAACATGATGATGGAAAATAAAATAAAAATGAGAAGTGAATTTACGCAAAAGAATGAAGAGGAGCACAAAAATAAATACAATAAAATGATCGTGATGACGAAGAAGAAAGAAAATAAGAGAAATGAAGGGAATTCATACAGTGACAGTGATTGGGAAGTGAATAATCACTTTATATGCTGCAAATTTTCTTCATTTTTCTTCGATTTTTTTGGATAGGATGATGCAAGGACATGAAGAAGTTTGACGGAATTGTGTCTGATTGACTATACTTGAATGGCACAAATCGGTCAATTGGCACAGACCGGCGTGATTCTGGCATGGTGCTCGATTGAAATCGAAGGCAATCCCATGTCAGAGTCATGCCGGCTTGGAACAGGATTTCTATTCGATTAAACGACTTGTGCTATTCATGATAGTGATTTAGATTCAGACTAGACAACGAAGAGAAGGGTTCATAGAATCAACATCAAGAACTACCCTCAATCCACAAACCTAAGCTTTATCTCTTCCATATCAAAGTTTTGTCCAAAATTCCATCCACCAAAAATGCGCCTTATTCCAACCCTCCAAAAAACCAATTCATAATCTATCCATTATTTCACACATATGCTCAGATGAATATATGACAGAACATTAATAGCAATAACAACATCACTATACACAGATAGAAAAGATGAAGCAGAGAAAGATACAAATGAATGCTATCAGATTTAAAAAATCATTCTTTGTCATTCATTTAGTGATTTGTATTCTGAATGATTTGAGCTTTTCTCCTCATGCACACACGCTTTCATATCATTGCATATTGATTTCCTTACACATATTTCAAACTTCGATTCCATCTTCCATCAAATTTTCTGCTGTGTCATCTGTTATGAAAGCATGCCTAGGACATTTCAATCAGCTTAAAGTCTTAATCTCTATTGAAGAGGCTTAAATTCAATCGATGTTGATGTTGATGCTGATTGTTTGTTGTCAAGTAAATTGAATTGCAATGTGTTGGAAGGAAAATAATATTTGATGAGAGTAAATAGATTTTTTAAGGGTCATGGG